CTTCAACTTGCCTGCTTGATAGTCTTACAATGCCTCATGGGACTTGTAGTTCCACAACAGCTGGAGTGCCAAGGTTGCCTACCCCTGTAGCAAGGATAGGACGCTGGGCATCCGTCATTAAAAAGTGTGTGGAATAAGAACTGACTGCTGCCATAATAACCAGATTCTGAATCTCTATTTGCAAGTATTAATCCAATTGGCTGCTACTGGCAAAAATGAGCAAGGCCAGGTATTCCCAGGACAACTATGTGTTTGTGGAATCTTCCCCAAATGGGCAGCCACATTCTATGGAAACGTGACATGATGATGATGATGATGATACACAGACAGTTCTTTGTAGGTGCTCCTGAAGCAGAAAAAACATCAGTTCTGTCAGAGGATGGCAAGAAGGGCATTTAAAAAAAGGAAAGGTTTTTGGATGGAGTAATAAAGGGGAAAGGTCTCCATTTTGATAGCTGTCCACAATGGAAGATCCCCCCTCACCGCTTGTTCTTGTTACTGTACCATTTTGGATTTACCATCAGTCTCCGTGACAGTGGTTACAAAGAGGGAGTCAATCTCCCCCCTGCAGGGACGCAGCAAGAAACATTTGACAGGTTTTAATTCCCTACCCTATCCCAAACCAAACCAAAAAGTAGTATGCAATACAGTGCGTTCTACCAGCTAACCGCTCTGGAACACACTGTAAATGACAGAAGAAAAGAATTTGTCTTCCAATGAGAGAAAATCTCACATACATAGATATAAATAACACTAGTAGTAAATGAAGATTGCATTGCAGTAAAAAAAAGCAGAAGAGGCCATAATGAGTAACATCTACACTGTGACAAATGCTGTAGGAGGTGTAAGGGGAGAGAGAAGCTGCCAGTTACATGGTCTCTCTGTAATCACTGTGATTTGCTAAGTCCTGGTGATCACATGATTGGGTGGTTACAGGATCCCGCTAATGGATTCCCCGACAGCACCGTACAGCATGCTCACAGGGTTTTGAGCGCACTCCAGCTTGGGGTATTTACCTTTACTATGTTAAATACACTGGGAGGATTCTTTAACCTCTTGCCGTCCGCCCGTAGTAAAAAAACGGACGGACGGCACTGCAGCATCTGCGGGTTGCCGTCTCCAGACGGCAATTTTTTTCTGCTCGCGCGCGCCCCCTAGCGGGCACGCACGGGCAGAAAAGACCCGCTAAATGCACACACCCGTTACCGGGTGTTTCACATATAGGCGATCGGCGGGATTAACACCGCGGATGTCAACTGGTTAAAAACGCGATTTGTCTAGTAGTGTAAAATGCATCAGCATAAGAGCTTGTTCCAGCTGACGGTTTAATAAAGGAATATTATTTTGCATCTCAGGTGTGCGGTTTTGCTGCTTCAATGGAGACAAGCCGAGCCTGAGCAGAATGGAGCCATGTCGTATGTTCAGTGTTCCATGGGAAAGGGTTAAGCGGATTCATTTTAAGATCTATTCTAACCTTTGTCTAGTGACTAGTTTGTAAACTGAGGCATTTATATAAAAACTACATTGAGGAAAACACTTCTAGAATACTGAAAAGGTTTATCAGCCTCACGTTTCCCTCATGTAATAGAGTTGGGAGCAGGCAATCACTAGTACACAATGATACTGCAATATAATCTGCCACCCAGACTTTATTAGAGACCCCTATAGAGATCTGCAGGTGCCTTCAAAGTGCTGGGCTGTGCCCGTTTCCATCACACAGTGGTCACAAGGTTGGGTCCTGGCCCACCCACTCTTTCCTCTCATGCCTCACTATTGGTCAGCGAAGCTTTCCGTCCCATTCAACAGCCAATAGAGAGGCACATTAGCACAGGCAGTGTGTTCTCAGGGTTCGGAGATGGGGCAGCTTATTTTAGTGGGTGGAAGCGAGTCTCTAGAGAAATATTTATAGCTTAAAATCAAAAATAGGTCTCACACTTCAGTGTAAAGGAGCCATATTCTATGGTGGCCACTGAAAACAGCACAGGGCTGCTAGCAGTAACCATTAGAACTGCTTGAACAGACTGACTAGTACGGCCATTTAGGCCCCGTTCACACTGAGCGATTTATCGTGCGATTTTTGCAGCGATATCGCTCATATTTCCACGCAATATCGCTCTATGTAGCTTCTCCAATCTATTTCAATGGAGCTGTTCACATCTCGTCGCTCAATAACGCTTGTAGCTCGTCGCTGGTAGCTTGTCGCTCCTACATGACCATTTTTTTCGAGCGATTTCGAGCGATATTGCTCCTGATTGCATACAGCCCAATAGGGACAAGTCGCTCAATATCGCTCGTCGCGCAATATCGCTCAAAATCGCACGATTTTCATGTCGCTCAGTGTGAATGGGGCCTTAGATTGCAAGAAACCAGTCAGGAAACATATGTTAGACCATCAAATCAAAACGTCTGTGCAGGTGAATGCCATCATCATTTACAGGGAAGGTACAACCACAAAACAAAGGTGTTTTTGCTGGTTTAGTTGCACATCTTAATATTTGTTAAAGCAGAACATTGTTTTTCTCCAGATTACCCTCCTTGCTTATATATCTGTGGTACATCATTTTATTGTAGTCAAAGAGCTGCAGATCTCAAAAACAGGGACAGAAGAGGTCAAGGGTCCTTAAAGAAGTGTGCGGCTGAGGTACATGACTGCTCTTTACTCAGCCTCATTAGAGGAAAGCTCCAGCAAGCACGATTTGCATGTAAGATAACACATCAGCATGTCACAGCTGAGCAGGTCAGAATTCACAACCGAAAGGAGAGTCAGCCATCATACTGCAAAGGTGAAGATTGGCAGACGCAGCACGGTCCCAGCTCACTCCAAGGGATGTGAAAGCAGAACGGTCACAGGTGAAAATAATGTGCCACCCCTTCATATTCAGAAACCGATACCATTATTAAGGAGCTAAAAAGATGGACATCGAAAGGGCTAAGCTCTTCGAAACCCAACATTCTTAAAAAGAAAAAAACGCCACAAATCACATTTTGTTGAAAATAAGTGTTGGACCAATCAGCGTTCTCAGGATGACTTACAGAAAAACAATAGGCAAGAAGCCTAGCAGCCAACCAAACCCAGCGTGTCCTTTTCAATCAGGAGAACACCAACGTGGAACGGTTTGTTCTTGATGCTAGAACATTATTCACAGGAATAAAATCCTAATAAAATCCAAGAGTAAAATAATCACTGAAAACACTCCATCACCCAGGAAAATGATGTCATTTACCATCAGCCTAACCTCAGATTAACCCCTAAACACAACTGGAACCTAACCCGCCTCATTGCTCCGCAAGGGTGTGGAGATTTCTGAAAAAAAACTTCCTGTCCAAGGACTAAAGCGGGGGCCCAATCTACTTGTCGCGATACAAAAATATACATTTCAACCAAAACTGTATTTAACCGCGCTAAGATTCTCATTGGACAGCGCGGTAACCAATGAGTGTTCGCAATTTGCAATCCACAGAGCGGGGCTGCGCTGAATGGCAGTATGGGGTACAGATGGTGCACCCGTACCA